TGTGTGTGTGTGTGTGTGTGTGTGTATGTGTGTGTGTGTGTGTGTGTGCAACACGAGCGCATGGACGCAAGCAATAACATACGAACACGGGCAAGATTACGTTTTCTTTTTTTTTGGGGAAGATTACGGGTGCACACGCGTATACTCACACTTACATGCTGAAGCTTTGCCGATGGATGACCACCTCCCTCCATGCATGTTGATTCCAGAACGCCCGCCGTCCGCCGATGGCCCATTGCTGTTCCGCTCGTCGTCGTCGATTCGATATTCTTGGCCATGGCTGCAATTCCTGCTCCTCCTTTTTCTGCTGCACCACCGCTGGGCTGTCCTTCTTGGACGATTTTTGTCCCCCCAGCGATCCGCTCTGTCCAGCGATCCGTTGTGTGTGTGACTGATCCGCCGACGGCCGAGCGTACAGCCGAACCTACCACCCTCCCTCCTCCTCCTATCACCCCCGGACTTCCTACAGGCTCCCTGCCTCTTCCTCCCTCATCGTCGGTGGTCTTTCGCAAACGTTTCAGCGGTCGGCCGCTGCTGTTGCCGGTCGTTGCAGCCGCAAGTACCGGTCCTCCACACGCTTCTTGCTCGTCGCCACACACGTCAGCTTTGCCGCCGATCTGCGCCAAGCGTCCCCGCCCATAATGACCTTGTGCTGCTTCTCTATCGCTCCTTCCCCCGCGCGCAGCAGCTGCGCTCATGTCTCCCCCTTCCCCCCGCTCGGTTCCCCACTTGACTCGCCGGTTCTCCGCTCCGCGAGAGGCTTCCGCCTCGGCGCTGCTCGCTTTCCGCTTGCGACTCCCCTTCCCTGCCCCGACAGGGGAAGGAGGAGGAGGAGGAGGAGGAGGAGGAGGAGCTTGCGTCTCCTTCCCCTGCTTTATCCTCCTCTCGGCCATCGCCATCCCTCTCCTCTTCTTCAACGGAGGGCCACTGTTATGGATCATCATCTTCTTCTGCTTCTTCTTCTGCTGCTGCTGCTGCTGCTGCTGGGTAGTTTGACTAGGTACAACCACCATCGCCGTCCTCTCCCTCCCTTCCTCCCTCTCGCTGTCTTCTTCTGACCAGCAGTAGTTGATCTGCACCTCTGTTGCAGCCACAATCTCCGCCATCGATCTCTTCTTCCTCCCTCTCGGCTTCATCTTCCCATATCGTCGATTACGCCCTCCTCCTCCTCCTCCCCCTCCTCCCCCTCCTCCCCCTTTCCCTATCGTCCTTGTGTGACCACCAACTGCCCAGAGCTCTCGTCCTCCGCCGCCATCGCTGGACGTTTGCAAGTTCTCTCTCTCTTTCTCTCTCTCTTTCTCTCTCTCTTTCTCTCTCTCGTCGTCTCTCTCTTTCTCTCTCTCCTTTTCGCTCGCTTTCTGTCTCTCTTTTGCTCTCTCTTTCTGGAGGCATGGGTTGACGTTCGCTATGGTCGATTGTTGATGCTTCCTTCTCTCTTCCTCCACAAGCTGGGCTATGGACCGGCTAGCCATGTCGCGGCTGCGCGGTCGGGGTCGGGAACGGCGGTGAAAACTCGCTTCTTCCTTGCACTCCTTGCGCTGCTGGCCTTCCCCTCCACCTACCTCTTGCCCTCCTCCTTGTTCTCTCTCTCCTCCTATACCTTCTTCGACATGATGAAGACTCTTTTCCGGTCCAGGTTCGCCATAGGAAGAAGCTGGTGCGTTGCATGAAGCCACCACGCACGCAGAGAGACCTCCTCCCCCTCCTGCTTCACCACCTCCTCCCCCTCCTGCTTCACCACCTCCTCCTCCTCCTGCTTCCTCTCCTATTCCATCCACCACTGCGGCCCCACCAGACTGTCCCTGACCATGAGCAGAACACTCGGTGGTTGTCAGAGGATCGAACGCCTCTCCTTTTCCACCTCCACCTCCTCCTCCTCCACCTCCATCTCCTCCTCCCCTACCTCCTGGTGCTTCTCCTTCTCCTCCTCCTCCTCCTCCACCTGCTGGTGCTGCTTCTTCTCCTCTTCGTTGAAGATCAGCCACTCGGATCTCGACAGACTGGCGCTCACCACGAGAACACGACTGCATACTTGTCAAAGGAACGACATGCTCTCCTCCTCCTCCTCCTCCTCCTCCTCCTCCTCCTCCTCCTCCTCCTCCTGCTTCTCTGTTGTCCTGTCCGCCTGGATCTTCTGCTACTGTACGTGCAAGCTCGACAGTTACATCGGCTTTAGGACGGACACGATGAGAGGAAGAAGCCGATTGAGAAGAGCGTGAGGGGGCACCCACTCTTCCTCCTCCTCCGTCTCCCCCACCACTTCCGCCTCCTGCTGCGGCTGGCGATGGCGATGGCGATGGCGGTGCTGCAGCTGCAGCTGCAGCTGCTGCTGCTGCTGCGTGTCTTCTTCTTCTGCTTTCTCCATTTAAAACGTTGTTGGGGGATGGATTAGATGCACGAGGATCCCGACGAGAAGATGGAGATGGAGACGATGTACGTGAGGTGTTCATTCCTCCCTCTGCCGCGTCTGCCCTGTCTGCCGCGTCTGCCGCGTGTCCATCCTCCATTTCCAGTCCTCCTCCCACCAGGGGGAGATGGAGGGGGAGAGATGTTCCGCTGAAGAGAGCCGCGGGTCCACTTTGCCGCCATCGCCGCCGACTATCGCGAAATGGTGTTCCATGACCACCCTTGCCTCTGCGACGACCTCTTCCTCCTCTTCCTCCTCTTCCTCCTCCTCCTCCTCCCTCCCCCTGTTTCCTCTCTTTTCCATTTTTATCTTCTGCTTTTCCTCTTCTATCCTCCTCCTCCCTCTCCTCCTCCTCCTCGCTTTTCTTGTCTCGTCTTTCTTCTCCCACCTTCTCCTCCACCGTTCCTCCTCTTCCTTCTTTTCGAGTTGCCCCCTTCTTTTCTCCTCCTCCTCCCCCTCCTCCTCCTCCTCCTCCTCCTCCTCCTCCTCCTCCTTCCTCTGTTCTCTCTCCGCCCTGCCTCTCCTCTGAGCCTGCCTTTCTTCTCTCTCGGCTTCTCTCTGACGCTTTCGCGTTTGCCCCCTTCTTTTCTCCTCCTCCTCCTCCTCCTCCTCCTCCTCCTCCTCCCTCTGTTCTCTCTCCGCCCTGCCTCTCCTCTGAGCATGCCTCTCTTCTCTCTCGGCTTCTCTCTGACGCGAAGTCGGACATCGATGGCGATGCTTCTGAAATCGACGGCGATGGAAGCGGCAAGGGTGGCAGTGGCGGCCCTCCTCCTCCCGCAAGCAACCGTTCCAGCATCTTCTGGCTGAAGGGCCAGCTATCCCGCAGCCCGAAACGTCGTTTGGACGCCGCGTACCCTCTGTCGTCAAGCCCAGCCGTTGATCATCAAACCCGCCGTTATCCAATTAGCCACCAATTAGGCAATTATCCAATCCCATTTTGCAAAATTTTATTTATTTTTATCTTATTTTCTTTTGATCGAGCGGTCAACAACAAGCGAGCACCACAAAATACATCCCCAAGAGAAGAGAGAACACCAATCCGATTTTATTGTACTTTTTTGGATCGAAACAAAATCCGGTTTTCCTTTTTTTTTTTCTTTGGCTGATCGAACAGTCCACAAGCAATTGAGCAGAGCGATCCGTCCGGCCAGCACCATTTTTTTTTCTTTTTTTTAAATTCATATATCCGGGAAACGGGCCCGGTGTGCCTTACTTAGCCCGTTTGACCGCAGCAAATGATGTAAGGCCTGCACCATAATCCATCGCCAAGGATAGCAAATCCGATTTTTATTTTTTATTTTTATTTTTTCTGATCTTTTTTTATTTTCCCCCCGAAAGGTCGACAAGCAATCCGGCACCAGCTGAATCTGGCACCAGCGGTTCACAGGAGCATGGTCCCACTAGCAACGGGGATTCGATTAAGATCCTGAATCTGGGCGTGCTTTAGGCAGCGATGCAGAAAAGGAGTTCAATCTCGATTTTTTTCTGCACCTTTCCACAACCCAAGTCCAGATTAAGGTGTTCAATCCAATCCTCTTTGCTAGTGGGACCTCGCCCCGGGACCATCCCAGCGTCGCGCCGGCGCGTCCCGTCCCGCGCGAAGAACGAACAGTACAACGAACTGTTAGCAAA